CCTCACAGAGAAGAAATACCATCTCACCAGTCCCGGGATCCTACAGAATTAGGTAGTGACCTAGCAAAGGATCCATTCAAGACCTGAGCTTGCTCCAAATGGGTGCCAGATTCTGAAGGCACATGCAGCCCTTCAGGGTCAGAGGCCACTGACTCACAAGCAGACTAGGCAGGTGGAATGCTGTACAGCTGCGCCCCTGGTTGCTTTTCCCAACACCTCCCTCTCCCACAGTGACCGCTCATCAGCATGCTATTTCTGCCACCTTGTCACCCTTGTCCAGGGACACAGCAGACATGGGTGTGGACAGCCTGTGCCCAGTTCTTTTTTTGGGGGGACAAGCTCCACTTCCTCTAGCCTTATCAAACCCTTTGTTTCCAAAATTGTTTATCAGCCCCTGAGGAGTGTAGCACCACTCCTCCTTTCCTATGTCCTCCGTGCTGAAGGGAAAAAGAGAAACAGCTGGCCATGAAGATGGCCATCTTGCCCTGGTTCCCTGGCACTCCAGTCTTACAAGCATAAGGCTGTTGAATTTGGTCAGCTGCATTTTGGACACCCTGCTAGAACTTACTTGTAGCTCAGCCTAAAGAAACACATAGCCCCAGATTCTTCCAGTGCTACAGATATAGAACTTCTCCATGCTAAAGAGATTTCAAAGATGAAGTACGGTTTTCCAAACCTTTTTTTATTTACCGACATAATAACAAGTGATAGCTTGTATTTCAACAGAGACACTCCTCTTTTTTACTCAGTTATTCAGCAAAGAATGTGCCATTGTCTCTGCTGTAGAATTTTATTTTATTTGTAAATTGTGCATGCTGCATGCTATGGAATACTGAAAAGCCATACACCCTGGCTTGTTAGTTGACACACAGTATGTGTGATTACAAATTGTTTGAGTAACAGTGGACTATTGAACTGTCATCCAGATGTATGTGGAGTTAACTGTGGGAATGTCCACAAAAGAGGATTATCTTTCTTGTTTCTGTGGCCAACGCCCCCCGCCCCAGAAAGCAGAAACATAAGCACAAAAGCTACTCAAATAGAACAGTAGCTGCAAATGGCTGTTCAGAAGCGAATTTTATCATTTTTTAAAATTAGTCTTTGCAATTAGACTGAATTTGTTCTTTCAAAAGTAAATCATGCAAGGAAAATGCCAAACAACAACCTAAACAAATTGAAACTTTGCCCTTTGAAGTGATTTGTTGTATATTTAAGCGCCTGGAAATTCAGAACGCAGTAGATTCAAGGTAGAATCTTGAATTCTACCTTGAATGTCCTGAGCCCCTCAGCGAGCTGTCTTTGTGTGTACAGAATGTGTTTATCTGTCTGCTATGCAGCACTACAACCATTAGTTGGTTGTTGTCACTATACTGACTGGTGGGAAACAATCCAGAAGTCCTCGGTGACTGGTTTCTTAAAAGATATTTGAACGCAATGAGATGCCACTTCCCACCTACTAGGATGGCTAAAATAAAAACATTAGGCAGTAATAAGTGTTTGTAAGGATGTAAAGAAGTTGGAGCTTCCACATGTTGCTGGTGAGAATGCAAAATGGAATAGCCACTTTGGAAAACAGTTCGGCAGTTCTACATACTGAACATGGAATTGCATGTCCACTCTGAGGTGTATGTGTCCAGGACGAGTGAAAATACAGGTCCACGCAAAGACTCAGACATGAATATTCAAAGCAGCAATATGCATAGGAGTTTAGAAATGGAAAAAAATCCAGATTGTCCATCACCTGTTGAATAGATAAATATAGCATATTGTTCAGCTGTAAGGAGGAATGAAGCATAGACCCAGCATGGATGAACCTTGAAGATGTGTTCAGTGAAAAGAGGCAGACTCAAAAGAGCACAAATGATATAAATGCCTTGGCAAGAAATGCTGGCAGTGGACAAATCTATATAGACAAGGAGTAGATCAGTGGTTTCCTAGAGCTGAAGAGGCAGAAGGGAAACATGGAGAGTGACTGGTAATGGATGTGGAGTTTCTATGTAGAGGCAAGAGACAGGGTACTGGGGTTTGAACCCTCGACCTGATACATACATACGAAGCACATGCTCTGTCACTGAGCTACAGCCCCAAATCCCTGGTGTTTCTTTTCTCAGTGATAAAATCTTCTAAAATTGACTGTGGCAATGGATGTACAACTCCATAAATAAATTAAAACCCATTGAATTTTAAACTTTGAATTGGGCAAATTGCATGGTATATGAATTAAACCTCAAGCTGTTTAAAAATCAAGGCATGATGAAGATTTTCAGGATAAAAAGATGTTTAAAAGTATTGGAGAGTAATTTTTTTTAAATAGCTAAAATTAGGATAACTTCAAAAACACATATCTGAGCTTTTTTGGCAGCATGAGAAAGAGGGAGAAATGGTTTTAAATTTAGTAAGCCTTTCTTTTTCCCTCTTTTTTTCTTTCTGGAATGAAAGATCTGTTACCCATTTGACGGTGTCAGGGCTTTCTGTCTCACGTTGGAATCTATAGCACTAAGTCGGCACCCAGCCAGCTGTAGCTTTGTGCGATGAGATACCAATAGTATGTGGAAATATATCAATTTGAACTTACTTTAAATTCTGTAGCAGGCAAGTTTAAAAAAATTAAATCATGAAACATCAGGCAAGCAAGAGGAAACAAACAAATAGGAAATCCTCTCTAGATTATATTCACACTCCACTTTCTACAGTTTAAGCTGAAGAAAAATGTGGAATTTCCTACAGAGTGATTAATAGGCTTGCGTGGTGACATACAGGACTCTGAGCTTGACCCTTACAGGTAAAGGCTAACTGGTATGTTAAGCTGATTACACAATTTCCTCCAAATACATGGGCAAGTGGTTTGCACAGTTGCCTTGACTTTTGCCCTTATAAATGCACATTTATAAATGACTTGCTTTTTCAGCCAAAGTAATGCTTATTTTAGATGTGACATGTGTTATGTAAACAGCCTGATACGGAGCCCCAGCTTCCTAAGCTTCATAGCCAGGACAGGTATTATTAGAGTTGTTGGAGGACAGGACTTAGGGGGACCCAAAATTCAGCTCAGAGATGTGGCTCGATTCTCAGGGCACACAAAACCCAAAACTGTTTTCCACCCGCCAGTTTTGTGAAGCAGACTGGTGGATTTCAAATGTGTTCCACAAATAGCTTTTAATATTCCAAGAGTAGGAGCTAGTAAATGATTTGTAGTAAATGATGAGAAGCCTTAGTTCAAGTGTTTTGTTGGGATCTCCTTTTAGAACATCAGTCTGTAAAAAGAAGACAGCCTTTGGTACTTCTTCAAAACTAAGATAGAGAAAAGGCTTCCAGTCAGCATTTCTGTTCTATGATCATTGTCACAAGAAGACAACGTAATTCTTTTATAGTCTAGAGAACACTTACTTACTGAGATGCTTTGTTTGTTTTACAAGAGGTACTACTTCCTTGTACTTGAAGGTTTCAAAAAGCTATTATGTATAAACAGGAAATGCCATTTCAGATGATAAATGAAAATGCTGTTTCAGAAAATAGCTGTTTATCTGTACATTTGTAAGACAAGCACCTTTATTGAACCTAATATATCTTGATTTGATAAGTGAAAAAGAGATTTGCAAACATTGACTTAGATGGGATCTACTCATGTATGTCTGTTCCTGAATGAGTTAAGCAGTTAGGAGACAAATTGATTTTTATTTGTCCATACAGAGATAATTCTGTTTATGCTTTCCAGGTCTAGACTATGACAAGCCCTGAGCCCATGTAGAAAACAGAACGTTGTTAGAACTCAGAGGATTCAGTGTACCATTCACCTTCAAAGTGCATGGATGCGCCTCTAAAATAGTGTGCAAACTCTTTATAAATCATCTCGTTCACATGGAGTCTTACATGAGATGAGACTCATTAGCCCAGAAATGTTTGCTGATGTACAGAGATGACTCATGCAGTAATCTTGTCCTTTATCTCATTATTTTGCTCAGTGGTCTGGAGTACTTATAATAAAAACCTACCCTTCCACTTTCTGGCTGACTGTGTGTGGGGCCCTGGACTCAATCTAATCCCTTCAGGAACTGGGCTTCTTCTGTGACTTGTCATTATCCAGTAACCATTAACTACTAACAGTGACATCCTCTGCTTGTCGTACTTACTCCTGTGTGCACAGGGCTCTGCCAGATGTACTCAGAACCAGAGATCTTTAGTGACCATCCCTAAGTGCTGGTAGAAGGTTAAGGTCTCCTGAATTTTGGATTTAACCTCCACATGTGCAAATCCAAGTTTCATGAGCTTCCTATCTCAGTGAAACAGTCTGAGAAGTTTCCATTGCTGCTTCATTTTCCTATGAGAGCACCCTTTAAAAATCTACATTAACAAACTATTTCTGTAACATATATATGGATCAGATATTTCAGAAGTGGAAAATACAGGACATCTTACAGTGAGCACACTTCCCAGAATAAGCTTAAGTGTTCTACCTCCCCTTGGTATTTTTGCAAAAAGAACAAAAACATCCAACTATGGAGCTACACGTATGCCCTTTTTTATAGTGGCTTCTCATTTGCCAAATTATGAAAGTGGCCTAGAACCCAAACAGATTAAAGGGTAAGGAAAACCTTGTGTATTTACTCAATGAAGAATTATTCTATCATAAAGGAAGAGAAATTGAAGTCATTTATAGGAAAATGAATAAAACTTTAATTGTAAAGTTAAGTGAAATAATAGATATAGGAAGTTATAGTATGGATTTTCTTATGAGAAACCTAAAATATAAATAAAGTGTAAAAAGGGAGAGAAGACAGAAAAATAGGAGATTAATTTCTTGAACATGGGAAAGATGAGGGGAATGGAAAGAAAGAAGGGAAGAGAGGTGGAGGTGGTGCTATTAAAATGATCAAATTATATTTTACATAAATACCAATTTCCCCCAAAAATGTCATTATGGATCTCAAACATAACAATTAAAATAATTTTAAAGAATAAAAATAAAATACTTCTATAAAAAATGTATTACTGTTTCACAGAAACCAATGAAGCCCTGGCCCAACCCAAGGAGACATTTGTGAGCTCAAGTCCACAGCACCCGGAAGAAATCTGGCCCACATCCTGCCTTCCCTGGGAGAGACAGGGATGATGCCCGGGAAGGAACGGGTGCTTTCCTTTGCTGGCTTGTACATTTACTGTTCTACTTTTCTGAACCAAAAGATATGGCCAGTATTCAATTATGTTCCAACACGGACATACCCATCTTATGTTGTTGCCATTCATCCAGACTCATTGAGGAGATGCGAAATCCTTGCATTTTACAGAGAAAACTCACGTCAGACTCATGTTTTAAGTTGTTAGCTTAGCTTCACAATTGATTTCTCTGCCCTGACTCTCAATCTCTTCCAATTCAGCCTCCAACCTCTTACCCCATCCATACAGATGTATCCAATTAAAGTTAAATCTGCCTTAAAATTTTTAAATATTACTATTTTGATTTCCTGTAAAAATACCAGCATTCAATGATTGAGTGCCTCCCCAAACTCCCTGAAGTAATGTGGGTCACACAATATACACACACCGTGTCCCCTTCTTAAAGTTCCACAGTCCGTAATCTTGGAACACATCTGGACCCAAGGTTTGGGGCAGAGATGACGGAACTGCAGTGCCACTGACTATGGGTTGGACATAAAGGTTAAATGAGGTGACACCAGAAAGGCACCTCGTGCAGGGCTCCTCTGTTGATTGTTGTTATCCCCTCACCACCGTCCTTTTCCAGCTTCCTGCCAGCATAGACTCCCTGCTCTTCCCTGCCTCGTGCATCTTGTGTTCCCTTGACCGTGATGCTCCTAAGACTGGAGATACAACAGGTAGAGCATTCTTTCCGTGCTCCTGTGCCTTGCCCCGCACACTAACCATCTGCACTGTCGCACTTCGGACATGACCTCACGGTGGGCTTCAGTTTTGTTGTTGTTGCTGTTTAAAAAGCAAAACAAAAAAGATAGAAATGATACCGGATTTCAGAAAAACAGTAGGAAATTAACACTAGTTAATTATTGCCTATTGTTATCTTAGAAGTAGTTGTTAAGGTTATAAAATCTGGGCACAAAAATAAACAATGACAGCACAAACTGTTCTTTCTGATGAACTAACAGGTTGATAGTATAGTTATCTGTCTTGTATATAAATACATACATGCCTTTATATATGGTTACCAGCATACATAAAACCTTTGCCTTTCTTCCTTTTCTCCTTTCCCTTGTCCCCGTTGTCCTTTCCCTTTCATTATTACAATGTCTGTTGTACATTTTGGATCTTATTATTTTAGCCTTTTATTTTTATTATTTTTTACACTAGGGAGACAATACCATATTTATAAATGTGTGGTTGATTTATTTCACTTGTAAATATGGTCTCAAGTTGCCTCAATTTACCTATAAAAGCCTCAAGATTAACCGTTTTATAGCTGAGTAATACTCCATTATATAAAAATGCTACATCTTTTTATCCATTCTGTGGTTGATGGACATTTGGATTGTTTCCAAGATTTAGCTATTACAAATTGTGCTGCTATAAACATAGGTGCACATATTATTGCTGTCGCTTGACTTTTTCAGTTTTTCTGGGAAAATACCCAGAAGGGGAATAGCTAGATTGAATGGCATGTCCAATCCTAGTTTTTTGAGGAATCTCCACACTGATTTCCAAAGTGGTTGTACCAGTCTACACTCCTACCAGCAGTGGAGAAGATTTCTTCTTTCCCCACAGCCCTGCCAATATTTTATATCAGTTGATTCTTGATGGCAGCCATTCTTTCTGGAGTGAGGTGGAATCTCAATGTTGTTTTAATTTGCATTTCTCGAATGACCAGTGATGTGGGAAGTACTTCAAAGAATCAACAACTGGGATCTCATTTTATTAAAAAGTTTTGTACTTCAAAAGTCACCAACAGAGTGAAGAGAAAACCCACAGAATGGGAAAGAATCTTAGCCAGCTGTCCCTCAGATAAAGGATTTTATCTAGAACATAAAAAGAATTGAAAAACATCAAGTCCCCCAAAATCAAAGACCAACTCCAAAAATGAGCATCTGAGATAAACACACACTTCTCAGATGAAGATATACAAATGGCAAATGAATACATGAAGACATGGGCTTCAGTCTTTAAAGCACGCAGATATTACAAAGTCTGCGTGACCTATGTCCATGTGTTTACTTGTGTACATTTACAGTGCTTCTTTCTATATACTTTTGTGGCATAGTTGATTGTTTCTTCATTTAACTATTAGTGTTTATGGAAAGAATAAGGAAATCTCTAACTTTATCCTCTAGCATAGTTGATGAAAATATGTTTTTTTATTGCTAAGTTTTAAAATGTTCTTTTATTAGTACAAGTCTGCCCATATCCACAGGATAGAGGTTCCAGTACCCTCTGTAAACCCTATGTATACAATGCTTTTTTCTATGATAGAAGTTTAATTTATAAATTAGGCCAAGAGACTAACAACATCTAATAATAAAACAGAACAGTTACATTAATATACTGTTGCTGAGTGTGGTGGCGCATGCCTATAATGTCAGCGCTTGGCAGTCTGAGAGAAGAGGATTGCTGCATGTTCCAGGCCAGCTGGCACTACCTAGTGAGTTGAAGATCAGCCTGAATTACAAAGCGAGACCCTGTATCAAAAAAAAAAAAAAGAAAAGAAAAAGAAATAATAGTAATAACATATTGTTAAGTAAACCATTAAGTAAGATATGTGAATTATTTATTTCTGAATTTTATCTATTATTTTGAAATCATGATATAACTGAAATGACAGATGAGGGAGAACTAATCTATCTTCAGTTTTTGAGATTGTTGTCAGATGAAAGTGTGTCTCACCGTTTCCCCTGTGAGTGCCATAGGGTCAAGTGCTCTTTCTGCAAGCAATTCTATGTCTTTGTTGTCCTGGGCTGCCCACAGTCCTTCAGTAACAGATGCTCTAACTGTGTGCATAACACAACAGGCCCTCTGGCCCTGCAGCCCCATGTCCCAGCACTAGGAGATGTGACTGTTTCCAGCCCAACATGGGAATGACTGTGGTATGTGAATGTATCCTGCCCCATCCAAAGTCAGCTCTCCTTCGCTTCGTTTCCCCTTCACTGTATCTCACAAGTGCTCACAGCCAAGCTGCTGCTACCAGTAATGCCTTAGAACTGATAGATCTTATTTTCCTGAGCTTTACCAAGTGAACGTGCCTCCAAAGCCATTTCTGGGACCCAAGCAAGTGTGAGGCACTGACCCCAAAGGCCAGAAAGAGATGAGAAACCACTCACTTTGTAGGAGAATTGTGCAGGGTCGCTCAGATGACAAGTGGCAGAGCTAGGTTTTGTGCCCAGTCTTTAAAGGTCGACCTCACATCTATCGAGTTGTACTAATTCACTTCATTCCAAAACCTTTTCCTTCCCTCTCTCCGCCTAGCACTGAGCACATGGCCTCTGGTCAGCATTTGCTACACGTGCACACACAAAACAGACATCAAGACCTCAAAACAGGATTCATTATGTTTCTGAGCACCTTTGAACCAAACTTAGGATCCTGCAATTTAACTTCGATTTAAAATAAATTTATTATAATACAGAATTCCAGATAATTATTCTAAGCAAAACTTACTGCCTGTACTCCACTCATGTTCTAGAAAGTCTGTTGCTTCTCCTCATCTAACTAGGAATATTTCTTTGACTGTTAAATACAGTACAGTCCTCTTAGCTTTATTCTGAGAGCCACCATTCAGAAGTGGTGGGGCACTCTTTAATTACATGGGGGGCAGCCGGCAGGGGCCCTGCTTTCAATGCCCTGGCACCTGCAGAAGGAAGGCTTTCTATCTGATAACCCCTCCTGTGCCAGTAACCCATGGCTGATTACATGGGCGGAACTCTCTCATACAGAACGAGCGTGTTTGCCAAGACGAGGTGAAGTATCTTGCAAGTCCACTTGTTCCAGAAGAAAGACAGGATAAGGAAAGTGGCAGTAGCGGTGATAGGCGAGGAGTTTTTCACACTGGCAAGCGTGAGCTGATAAAGCTAACCTTTCAGGCAGATGCTGAGGGTCTGGGAAGCACGTCGCAGGCCAAAACTAGCTAAGCAAATTTGACTTGGCTTTCCAGTTTATAATGGAAAGCATTTGCAAGGAGAAACAAAACCCAACATTCACTGCTGTTATGAGTGATGGATTTAACTTATCTGATAGACTTTTCTGCTAAAGAAATCAATGGAATCATTTCTCACATGCCTGCAATATAAAGTTTCTTGTTAAAAATATATTAGTCACAATATTCTCAGTCTTACAATGCTTTGTCTTCAGATCAGGAATGTTTGCATTGTGTATCTCATTTAATCGCTACAAGACCCCTGCGGAGCTAGTCCAGTTTACAGGTGGAGACAATGGGGATCAGAGAGGTTCAGTCATTCACCCCACCCTGCCACATAGGCAACAAGTGGTAGAGGCCAGGATTGAACCACGACAGCTAGGCTGGGAGCCTGCACATTTATTCACTCGTGCAGAGAAGCCCTTGTGCACCATTACCACCTCCCTTCTCGGGCTCCTCCTTGCCTCTGAACACCTGTGCAGGGAGGGTACCTCAGGAGGCGCCCTTCATGCCCTTTGTGGGGTGAGTAAAGCAAACAAGCAAACATCATCTGCCAGGAGTACTCTTCCTGGCAATTGTTCTTAGTTTTTCTTTGGTATATAGAATAAAACATTACAATATAAGCAAGTAAGCAGAAAAAGTGTTTCTTGGTCCCTAAAAACCTTGCTATGGCCTTTATTGATCTCTGAGTTGTGTGAAAAGAAGTACTTAAATAAGACAGAAAAGTGTGGTAAACACAGATTACTGCAAAATAGCCAAGGCGTGGCGCTGCCTCCTAGGGAGCAGAAACCAGGTGCCCTGGGTGCCCATGTATACTAACCATTCCACCAGGTCATTTTTGAAAAGTCCCTGTGAATAGTGGTCACACTCACATGACCTAGAGGAGGCTACCGTGATGATCCAATGCCTGGTCCAGGGGTGTCAGTACCTACATTATGGCTGGCAGACCGACACAGAGAGCAGTGGATGGCCAAGGCAATGAGAGAGACCATAGGAGAACACGCGCTTTTCCTAGGTGGAAAGATGAGGCTCAGGGAGAAGACGTGAGTAGCTGAAGGACAGTCTGCTGGTTGAGTGGACCTTGCAGTAGAATTGCTACCAGGACACCCCTTCACTGGACAGCTGCTGACGTGCCTGCCTCAGGCAGCATTACCCACACAGATACTCCCCTGGCCCACCTGCACCCCTGGCCCACAGCACCTCAGGATATACCGTGTCTGTGTAGCCATCCAGTTGGGCCTTGCATCTGAACCTTGTTCTGCAAAGACTGACTCGCTCAGAGGCTGTGCCCTTGTTATCCCCAGGTGGTTAGATTCACAGTGCAGAGCAATAAAAGTTATTTAAATTAGCTCTATTCTATCCATACAGTTAGTGACTCATCTGCAGTAATACACATTATCACCTTCCCGAGCCAGTCAAGTTCTCTCCAGACTTTATCCCACAGCAGACATGCGTGGAGATTGCTCAACAAGTTCTTTATTGCTTGTTCTGAAAGCAAGAAGTGCCCTGGACTATACTTGTACAGGTACTTCAACCACAAATGGTACCTGTCACTCCCCCTGCCTTGAGGTACTTTAACCGAATATACTTGGAGGGTTGAGAAAATTAAACTGTTGTTCACATCAATTCATCTTTGCCCATAAAATATTTCTTAGGAAATACTTTTATGTGCTTTAAATACAATATTCTTATCAAACCTTGATGTTACAGATTTAACTCATTCAAATTACAGACACAAATATCATGTGACTCACTCACTAAAACCAGTCTACATTGCCAAACAAAATAAACAAAGTAGACTCACTTTCTGACAGAACGAGTTTGACTTCATTTTTTCAGTTTAAATAAATGTGTTAGTTCATGGCCGGAGTACAGTGTCACGTCTGTGTAATTCTAAAGTGGAAAGCTGGTAAGGAGGCCTCAGGCAGGTGTGTGAAGCAAGAACTTCAATTTTCTCTGCAAATTCATCACCTGGTAGACATTGATCCTACTGCCATCAGCCTTGTTCTCAGAAAACTCTCCAAAAAACTGCATTCTTTGGAAATAAGTTACTTGTACCAGCCCATTCCATAGTACAGATGCTCTCCATCTTACCATGCAGTGTGTCCCGGTCCGCTCTCTGTTTAGTGAGAAGATCTGAGTCAGAAGTGTACTCAACATAGCTGACCTGTGGAATGGATTCCCAGACCTTGAAGTGCGGTCCTCAATCTCAGGACCCCACAGCTTACTGGGAGTTACATTTGCCCAGGAAGAGACCCAGATTCAAAGTGCTTTCACTGAACATTCTCACGTTCTCACCATTGTAAAGTTGAACAATCATAAAAAGAATCATCACAAAGCAAGGACCATCTGGTTATCTGAATTCAAACCACTGCCATACAGGCAGAGCACCCTGTTTCTTCCTTGACTCCCAGCAGCAATAGCTAACATCATCTCTTCATTTGGCTCTTACTAAAATGGGAGAAAGCAGTTGAGGAGGGAAAGGGGTGAAGAATTGAAGGATGCCCAGATCACATGTTCTCGGAAGACTGGATCAGCAGATCATTTATATAGAAGTGAGGATTGAGAGACTGAGTCTTTTAAACTTAGCTATATCCTCGTTTAAAGACCTCAAGGAGAATCTTTACATGTACTGACAAGAGGGGATTTGCAGAATGTTCAAAGTAACATTGGAATCGCAGAAATTTAGAAGGAAATTAAATATTCATTGGTTGGAGGAGAAGGCCAACATAATAGAATACGATACGACAGAATTAATAGATGTGCATCATGAAGCTGTTACATTGATCCAAAGGGTAATTTCAAAAATGCTAAATGTAGAATATTATGCATGATAATAGATACATAAATATGCAGTAAAACTATAAAGACAAGAACTGAAGCATACCCTTACTTTAGGGCTGGAGATGCCTGGAGATAGAGATGAATAGAGGCGAAATGTTAAATGTATTTATAGGACATTTTCCTTCCAAAAGAGCAACTCAGTCTTCTTCATTATTAAATAGTTGATTGCGTTTTGGGAAAAAAACAAAGAGGCTGATTTTTAGGTATGCATCTTGTGCAGGTGTCCAGTGGGGAACAGGGCTTTAACCTTTCACCTTTTACCTCGGATACATTCACGGCCCCAGCTACAGGTTTACAAGAATTGTATCTTGGAAAAGGTTGCAGCTGGTTAGCATGGAGACTCTGCACAGTCATTCTTGATTTTTTAAAAATGAAATTGGACAAAGTACATGAAGGCTCCTGTAGAATGGCTTTAATTTGTGTTTAGGAATGCATAATTTTATCAGGGTCTCTGTAATTAGATATTGTGCAATAGAATAAAAAGCAAATACTGCTTGTTCCATGGCAACAAAAGCCTTTAATACCTCACTATCTTTGAGATAACGAATGTTTCCATAGACAAATGTATCACATGAGATTGTTTAAATACACATCCAAGAAAAAAATGAAAGCTTCCCTATTGCTTTTCCCGTGTGTAAGAGTGAGTACATAAACATCTGTTTTGTGCTTCTGTTTTAATATTGCATGCTGGATTTGGGTGGTTTTTTCCCTCCTTTTTCTGTTTGAATGTTGATAGTCCTGTAAAAGTAATGTCAAGGCTTAAATTTCATTGCATATAAAGTACCTATCTTTTAAGAGAAGTAAAAATGAAATAATACTATGGATGCCTTCTGCTTAAGGAGTAAAAAAGAGCACACTGATAAGGCAAAGCACTGACAGCTCGAGGGCAGGAAATAGGCCTTTCTCATCTCGTCTCTGCAACCCCATGTCTGGTATTGCCAGGCACAGAGAGAGGTGCACAGTAATGAACTCCCTCCCAAGTAGCTCTTCAGATAGAGGAAATGGCCACGTTAAGTAATACCTAGGGAAAGACCTTGCGAGCGTCACTGCTGCTTCTAGACGATGCAGGGAAGATGCTGACCTGATGTCACAGGGCAGGAAGTGGAGAGTTTGGGCTGAACCAAACTCTACACCTACCTTAAAGCGTCCAGTCTAAGCTTTGCAAAATTACAAAGTATACTCATTTGCACTGCTGCCTAGACTATGTAGGAAGTTAATTCTAGCATGACTTTTGGGTTATATTTTAGTTTCTGTTCTGTTTTTCCAATCCAAGATGGCAAAATCCCAAACAGGATAAGAATTCTTCCTACCAAGTATCAGTTTTACCCAGGTATAGACGCAGGGTCACTGCTCTTTGCAGTAACATAGTACGAGTGTCAGCTCTGTGCAGGAAGTTGGAAGCACCATGTTCTCTTTATCCAACAAGCATTGGTGTCTCATTGAAATCCATTTGTCTTGTCCACCAAGGAGAGCCTCGAAAAGGAAAAAGAAAACCCAGCAAAGTAGCCCACACCCAGAGAGAAAGAAAGAGTCGGTGGAATGCAAGAGCCTGTGGGTGTATGGTCTACTAGTCATGTGAACTTCGTCATTGTTTGATTTTATTTTATGTTAAAATTTTACTTTTATTGGTACATTTGCTGTGCACGGTGATTGCATTCCTCATTAGGAGTGATAGACGTGTACATAACACATCCTACTCTTTTTCATCCCCCTTCTCTCCCTCCATCTCTTGTTCCCCTTCCCCGTAGCGAAAGACCTATCTCCCTATTTTCTACTGTCTTTTATTTTGCTCATTATTTATATTTTTGGATTCTCATATGAGAGAAACCATGTGAAATTTAAGTGCGCATGTCTGATTTATTTCATTTGATATTATGGTCTCAAAGAGTATCCAGTATTCCTACAAATGACTCAAATTTATTCTTTATAGCAGAGTAGTATATAAATACCACACTCTGTGTAAATACCACATTTTCTTTATCCATTCATCTGTTGATGGACATATGGACTGTTTCCAACATTTAACTATTATGAATTCTGTTGCTATAAAAATGGGTACCCATATGTCACCCTGATACAGCATTTTTTAACTGATTTGAGAAGATACCTAGAAGGGAAACAGCTGGGTTGATCAAGTTATCATTTTAAACAGCACTGGTCAGCCACTGCCTTTTGTGCAATCTGATACATCCTTGGAGTGATCCCTACCTAGTGTTCTGCTCCTCCAGAATAATGCCTGCCTGGTTGTACATAAATGATCCTCAGAAGGTCCTTTTCTCCACAAGACTGATGCTTTCAGAACTGTAAGCCTAAGTATCTCCTGTTGGAATTCGTGACATTGGACATTTATAGGTATCTGCCCTACCTTGACTGAATTTAGGAAACTATTTAATCTTATTCATTTCATTAATTGCATTTTTAAAATTTTTATTTTAAAAAGAATGAAACCAAATAAAATAAAACTGAGTAAAGTCAATCAAAACAAAATAATGAAAATGATACAGGACTTCAAAACAAGATCATGGAAAATCAACAATGACTACCATAATGCTTCTTGTTATCTTCAAAATAGCTGCCCATACCTTCAGACATAATTAAATCAACCAAAACAAAACAGTAAAACCAACCAAAACAAAACAATGAAAGCAATACAAGACTTCAAAAAAGGATAATAGGAAATTGAAAATGACTACCATAATATATCTTATCTTCAAAATACCTACCCATACCATCAGACATAATAAAATCAAACAAAACAAAATGAAATAAAACCAAACAAAACAATGAAAACAATACAGGATTTCAAAATAAAACAATAGGAAGTTAACAGTGGCTACCATCATACCTCTTGTTATCTTCAAAATAGCTGTGTAACCATCAGACACAGGCATATAAAATTAACCAATCAGTATAAGAACTAAGTTGCCTCTTTACTTCAATTGTTATATTTTCAGAAATTTCAGGAGTGTGATCTCTTATCTGTACTGTGTCTGTGTCTCCTGAACTTGTTCTGTGTGGGCTGAGGTCTGAGATTGTAGTTTGCTCCTTTGCCTTGACATTTTCTTTTCCAAATCAGCCCATTGCTGCCTCCCAAGTGCTTCTTGCATTTCTGCCAGTCCTTGGTGCAGGGACTTGGACCAGGCACCTGGGTTCCTCCAATCTGGAGTTGCTGGAGTGGTGGAGAGGCAATGGGGGGATTGTCCACAGATGCTCCCCCATGGAGGTGGGACCTTGGGGCAGTGGCTTCTTCTGCAGGACTTCAGGACATGGCTTCTTCCTACTAGGTCTGTGGTTCACAGTTTTGATTCGCGTCTGATATTTCTTTTCTGATTTTCTGTCTAGCTGATTGATCTGTCTCTCTGTAACAATGGGAGATCGAGGTCTCCCATTACAACTGTTGTTGCTCATTGATTTTCCATGCCTACCAATGTCTGTCTTATATTGTATGGTGCTCCCTTATTAGGTGCATATACATTTAGAATTGTCAAGGCATTTATGCTGTCTTCAGCTTTCTCATTGACCCCAATCAATGTGTTATTCTTCTTTGCTTTATTTTGTAGCTGTTGGACTGATTTCTCATGGTCTCTTGCTATTTTAAGATATCTTTTTTTTTTCATGATTACTACCTGTAACTCTGTCTTTAAGGTCTGAAATTCTATCCTTTGCATTGTTTAATCTGTTGCATATACTTTCACTAGAGATTTTAATCTCCTAGATCTCTTTTTGTATCTGTTTCATGGAGCCCATTTCTGTCCTAAGTTGGCCACTTTTTGTCTCCATCGTTTTCTAAGCTCATCTATTCTTTTATTGGTGTCTTCTCTAATATCTTTGATTTTATGCATCACTTCTTTTTGTATGTGCAAGATCATTTTCCCTCTATAGCCTTTTCCATTTGTTTTCTCACTTCTTTTGTTATCGTTTTGAAAGTTCCAGTGTTTGACTTCTAACTTCACCCGTCTCATTGAGTTCCAGGCTTGTCCTGGGTGGGCTTGGGGTCTGGGACCACACCCCACCTCTGCATCTTGCCATTCTCCACCTTTTCTTTTTTCTTTTATTTTGTCTTTGATATTAATACCTGCCAGCCTCCCATGATATATAGCTCTACCACTAGCATTGAGGCCTCTCTCAAGAAGGAAACGAAGTGTTCTTTCCCCAGGGATGTCCTCCAGATGTAGTTGCTTCTTTATAGCTGTCCCAAGAACCTACCTTTCGGTGTTCACAGTTCTGTAATAATGTCCATGTGACATCCCAGAGATGTGCTGGGTACGGAGTCAATCTTAGCATCCGAATGTGGGGGCCAGGATGGTCTTCTGTCGGTGTAGTTCTCCAGGGTGCAACTGCCGTCTTCTCCCCTGCTGCTCCAGACTATTCCACATTATTGGCCTCACTGATTACTTTGCTTTCCAGAGGTGTGTGCGCGTCTGTATGCTGGGCTGTTGTCCTGGGTTGTTAATTGCATTTAATGGTGTGATTGCAATTGCTAGGCAAAGCCTTAGAATTTTAATAGCACTAAGCAATTTTTTAATGTGTACTGTAAGGTAAACCCTTGGGAGAATATTAAAAATATTGTAAGAAGTGAAGAAAGAGATTGATACGTGATTAGAGAGGCAGAGAAACAGGTTAATTTTCCCTATCAATATTATGAATATTCTTCTGGAAGCATAGAAATCATGCCATTCCTCAGATTTATAGAACATTGTCTTCTAAGTAACTCAAAGTGCAGTTTGAGGCATTGTCTTATTTATCATAATGTGATCCCTAAAAAGCGAAGAACAGTTCTAAAACAAACTAACCAACTACGCAGCACCTTGAACATCACAGGGAAGTATTTAAGACATAATTTAAAATATCATCTCTTTCCTCTAAAATTGGGTCTTTAGAAGTATTTATAGGCACCTTTGTAAGGCAAACCAATAAAAGACTGACACTAATTATCTCTTCACTGAAACAAAGTCATGGAATAAGAGTCTGGGACTCCACGCTGCACGTTATACATTTCACAGTAGTGTAAAAAGCAAGTCACAGATAAGGATGGATAATGTCAGGTACCTGCAGAGGTAAGGAGTTGCTCTCTGCTGTTGTTGGTTGTGCAATGACATTGAGTTCTTTAAATCAGGAGGCAACTTTGCTCAGCGAGTAAGTAGTTTTCATGATGGCAGAGTAGGCAGAGGTTGGGCAGCAGTGTCTCATGGCTACGGTTTACCTGGTCCTGTCCAATCTAGTTCCAGGATAGTGACTACAAATGTTCACATGCATCTTTGTAAACAATAATTAGAGCCGAGCATGGTGGTGCATTCCTGTAATCCAAGCACTTGGGAGGCTGAGGCAGGAGAATTGTTTGCAAGTTCAAGACCAGCCTAGGCTACAAAGTGAGCCTAAGGCCAGCCTGAACTGCATAGCAAGACCCTGTCTCAAAAAGACAAAAAAAAAAAAAAAATTAGATCTCTTTTAACTCAGAATTGAAAGAAGGTATGTCTCTCTTCTCAAGTTGAGAAGAACTAAAGTAATAATGTAGACCTAATTATACATAGCTGACTACAAACCGAAAATATATTTTTAAAAAATTGTTGGTGATATGCAGTCACGAGAGGGTTGCTGGTGTTAATCACCAGTTGCTCCCCTCTCCTCTGCGGTGAAACCCACTGACAGGAGCCACCAGGATGGAGCCCAGCCTGGCCCCAGAGCCTCCTTTGTTGTCTACTGGTTCTGTTTTGCCCTCTCATCCTCTGGGTCCCTTCATAGCGCTGCTACTTTGATTACACTATTGACTACTCAAAATCAGAGCAGATATCCCGTTACAGAGGAGTCTCTGTCTTACCCACTGCACTTCCTGAAAGAATAACTTGCACATTTCATCCACTGCATTTCTTTTGCTCTACTATTTTCTGATCTTTGTGCTTTTTGAGGAATCATTGAAAATGCTGAAGGTATTATTCTCCTTGGGAGGAATAGTCTTTGGGAAAATGTATCTTCTCCCTGCTGTGGTTTTCAGGGTTTCATAAGGCCTGTTTGCTTTAGGTAGATGAAAAACAGCTGAAAAGACTCAGTGTCTCTTCCACTGAGTAAATCATGAATCGTTTTCTGTATCAAACAATCCATGCATGGTATTGCTGCATCTGGTGCCTTCTTGGTAATTTTCTATTTGCCTTCTTAAAATCTATCACATGAGGTTGTGATAATGTGGCAGTTTCTCTTTTAGGGTGCAGTTCAGCCTCTTTTTGGTTCTTCAGCTCACTTTCCTGAACTATTCTTTTCCGTATGATAGGGATCTATCATTTATAGACACTAAAGCCATATACTTTATAAATCAAGTAAGACATAGACTGAATTGTATGTGTATTTTACATAAAAAGTCTTATAAATTAAGTCAGATATAGTCATACATTGGGGAAATCACCTTTTAAAAATAAAATAGGTGCTGCCCTTGGAAGATAGGGATATATGAGCTCTTCTCCATGTAACATATATAGAGTTGTGATGTATTATAGATATTAGACTCAACAACTTATTTTTGCAAAAGACTTCTTTGCCAGGTTTATATAGATGAGAGAAATAATCAGGAAAATCTCTCTGTTTAATATAGTGAAAATAAAACCCTTAATCCCATAACCAGCAACAAAGAACCCCATGTTCCCAAGTCACTTTTCTCATCTCTGGAGAAAGATTGAGCTCAGCTTATGGTTTTTGTTTTTGTTTTTGTTTGGATTTTTTTTCCCAAAGCTGCTGTTCTCTTAATGTTAGACTGTATGCAAATCCTAGGACGAGTTTCTTCTACTTGAAAAGTGTGCATTTTCCCACTAGGGTAATTGTTTACTCTTGAAACTAAACCTGTAATTACTGTTATCTAATGATTTTATAGCATGGTGTGCACCATTTGAAAAGAAATTTTTCCATCTTTTTTTCCACTGGCCATTCAGAGATACAATCTGGTGATGAAAATTAGCTATTTTCCACTAGTGTAGGGAAAAAACACTCTGCAAAGGCAAAAATGGACTCCCCCTGCCTCCAGATTTATGTTTCTGCCTGCACAGAGTGGAAGTAGCCAGGAGCAGAGTAGGATTATTCTCTGTGAATACATTTTTATGAAAAGAATTCTGTATTTCTTTCTCTCTATGGATGGGAAAGCCTCTATCTTAGCCTGTATCCATGACTTTGTGGGGCTTATAAAAGAGAAAGAAAATCCTCCTAGGAAGAAACGCTTTAGGTCAGAGTGAGCAGCACCATCACAGAATTTCCAGGCTTCCTTTCCAGGGTTGAGCTTAAAACTGGAAGAAAAAAGAACACTGCTAGCACAAGTAGGAGTTGCGGAGCCAGGAAGAGACTGAGCACACAAACCCCTTGCTGCAGTTGTACGTGGTCCCTGATGGGATGGAAACGTGAGAGCTGGACCACCAAAGAAAACTGCATTAGCACTCTGCTTGGGACACAACTGCAGCTTACAAGAAAACTTTAGGAAATTGCTGGGCCCAGAGCAAGAACATAGACATTCCTGAGGACGAACAACCAAGGGGAAAGGAGCTATTTACTTTCTCGGGAAGTTATGAAATCTCACATGTAAAACAGTCATATTTTTGTATTACTTGACTTAACACTCCAGGAACTTACCCCAAGCCAGCTGTGGCTCCCATGTTGCCCTGCTTATTAAAATTCCCTCCTGTTGATTCCCACTCCCTTTACCCCGACTCTTGCCTGCCCTGTTGTCCTTCAGTTTCTTCTCTGTGTAATTCTGGAACGTGTCTTTTCACTGCTCCCAGAAAGTTTCCTTTAATAGCATAAAATATGCTATCTACAAAAGTGAAGGTTTGCTGTAGAAATTCTGGAGAGTTCTGAAAAGTGCCAAATGCAAAGGAAAATAATTCTATCCCCTGTGCATTGCACCACAGTTAACTCTTTAGTGGTACAAAGTTGTTACGTCTTTTAAGCATTCAGACTAATCCTCTGATGACAAGAACTTAAGAAATCCCTGAGATACAGTATGAGATGGTCATCCTGGAAGACCAAGGCCACATTTTCCCTGTCTCAAGCCCTGAATGCAGGCAGCACCCTCCATGTGCAGCGTCCACAAACCTAGGGTTTCAGAGAAACCCACAATCAAGAACAAGACCAGAGAAGAAGAAATGTGTTAGTCCTTTTCACTCAGAGAAACTATAAGTGCCTTTCTCAGCTGCGTCCTTTTCCTTGAAATATTGAAAACGTGTTAAGATGATTTGGGGGCCAGGCCTGAAAGAGGTTTCCCAGACTGCCCAGAAGATGAGTTTATTCACCTTTGAGAAGGAACCATTGTCACCGAGGCTGGAGCCCCACCATCTTCCTTTGGCATCTGCAGGGTACAGAGTGAAGAACAGTGGCGGGCCAGGAGGGCTTGGTACCCATGTGCTGCCCACCCGCCAGCGTCTGTGTGCAGACAAATGTCCCTGCATGGAGCCTCGCCCACAAACAAATTACAAAACTGCCATTTGTAATCCCCAAACAGTTCTCTGTCATTTAATGAGAAAATTCATCTTATTTTGCCTCCAAGCCCTGTAGCCTTATTGCATTTGCACATATTTCAAAATGTTTCAAGTACTGACCAGATAACATTAATGACTACATAAGATAGGCAAATGCTTTTAAACAAAAAATAAATAAATAAACGTGTGTGCGTGTATGTGTGTGTGTGCGTGTGTGTGTGTGTGTGTGTGTGTGTGTGTGTGTGTGTGTGTGTGTAAAGTTAATTCTGTCTGGAGCCAAACAGGTAATTTTCCCTTCAGCATTTTTTCAGTCAGCTAAGACAAGTTGGCCTTTGAGCACAGTCAGCCTGTCTGCAGGCTGGCTTGGCTTACATACCAGGGCGGGAGTTTCTGCAGAGACAGACAGCAGGATGATCTGATTGGCTCCCATCCAGAGCATGCTCACAAGGGCCTCTTTGACGAAGGGTTCTTGGTAAGTACTGTACCAAAAGCAGCCTGCCACCCTCCTTTCAAAGATACCCATTTAGAGTAATTCCCAGAAAGGGAAAAAACAGCAAGAAACAAAAAAGGAGGGAAGTGAGGGAGAAAGAGCTGAAAACTCCAGGATTATCACAAGAATAATTATGCTCCCTGTCATAGAGAAAGGGGGGAAAGTTATTACAAGTAAACTGCTGGATGTTGAAGTGACTGGTTGGCAACTGTGGAAGAACATAAGGAATGTGCAATTAAGCTCATTAAAACATCATCATTATGCTTATCAATCTTTTTCCAAAAGAGGTAGGGTGAAGCAGTGTGTTAAGGCATGACTGCTTCTGCAGATAACGATCCAGGACTACCTGACTTGCTGTTCTCAGCAAACAAAATCAGCTAGCAGCCTTTGCAGCTAGGCAGGCTGGCTCCAACCCACCCTGGAGTTGGACCTGAACTCTGGCCAAGACATGGGGGGGGAGGGGGGCTGGCTGCACTCATGACATGAGTCCTGATCAGAAAGGCAAACTTTTACTAAGCACCTGTGATACAACCAACCCTGGTGTGCATGAGGAAGTTCAAAAATTCTGTGCCTGATGGGAGCCCCGCCTTCTAGGCCCTGTTAGCTTAGGTGGGGAGGTGAAAGCTGGTTGTTCATTCATTCGCGCAACAAATACTGAGAGGCAGCCAAGCACAGGCGTCCTGCTAAATGTGCTAGGACACAGCCCCGTCCTCACCATCCAGCCGGAGGCGTGGTCCACACAGCCTCAGTGACGCAAGCTTAGCAGCATGGCGAGCACTGGAGGAGGAGGTCGAGGTGCAGCGGGCACACAGGTGGGGAGCAGTGCTACAGACACACTGGCCCCAATTCCCACTGCTCCTGGAGGAAGACCAGTGTCTCTCTCTTGCTTTCACTTTTACTCTTGCTTTCCTGCTGTGGGTTTTAATGACATTTTTATATTAAAAATATTTGTTTCTTGTTGAAAATGAGACACATGCAGAAAATGAAAAAAAAGAGAAGAAAAATCATATGTAATATGGCCACCCAGAAATACCTACTTTAACACTTAGGTCTATTTTCTTCCAGTATTTTGTTGTTGTTTTGTTTTGTTTTGTTACAAAATAAGATTATTGTCGGTGTCACTCCCGGCCGGCAGGAAAAACACACGACAGATTCTGACGGTGTGCAACCTTGTCTTTATTTGTCTCCGCGTGGGCCCCTCGAGGCCTCTGCTTTGCCACCAGTCCTTTCTCGCCGGTGGACTTTCTCTATCTCTCTCGTGCTTCTCTCTCGTGGCAGGAGAGGCATTCACTTTTATAGGGTAACAGTGGCCAATCAATTCAAAGCGCGCGATGCGGGCTGATTGGCTAACATCAGTTGTTGCTAGGCAGACTATCTTACAGAGCGGGTTGTTTAAGTCGCCGGGGCAATCAGGGGGCAGGAATCAGGCGCCAACTTGGCTCACTCGATGGGAGGGGTAATTTAGCTCAGGCTTTGCCTTTTCCTACAGGCCTTACGTCCGCCAAGTAAGGCGACCGGGCTCGGCCGCGGCTCCCAACAGATTATTGTTTACTTGTTCTACATGACAATAATGTGAACATTTTCCATATTATTAAATATGCTTCAATCTGTTGTTTAGAAAGTCTGCACAGCTTAACCAATCTTCTCCCCCGACCCCCTGGAGATCAAACCCAGACCTGCACGTATGCCAAGCACATGCTGTAGCTCTGAGCTACACCCTCAGCCCAAGCTGAATCTTCTACTGCTGGATATTTTATTTACAGCTTTTTTGCCATTATAAATAATATTTCCCTAAAGATCTTTGTATGTAATTACAATCACTTATTTTACATCCCTGCACTTATTCACAAATGAGATTTATGTCACAATTACCTGTAAAATTATGGAAAGTTAGATGATACAAAGCAGAGTATAATTATGGGACCAGTAGTGCAGATGAGCACCTGTAGAACAGAGATTTCCTGGGGATTGGCAGCCTCAGAGGCTTACCAAAAAGGTGGCTCTTGAACCTGATGGTCCAGACCCACATTACAACTGCAAGTGGTCCAAAAACTTTGGCTTACACTTTGGCCTGAGCATCTTTTTCTCCACCAGCTAAGTTCAAGCAGCCTTGTTCACCTGTGTCAACTGCACATCTCAAGTTCAAGTTCAGTGATCCATGGAGGTTTCACCTGGGTGCAGATTAAAACGATTCCTGGCCCTCCTCCCAGACCTGCTCAATCAGTACCTGTGGGACAGGATCAAGAAATTTGCATTTTTAAAATGCTCCTCAAGGCAGTTCTAGTGCAAGGTATGCAAGATCCAGGGTTGCAGGAGGAACGCTTGGCCCCAACGACATACCAGGTGCCGTGGTCCAAAGCAAGGGCTCTGGTTAGAGCCGGGACTCAGACCCTGGCCCGCCGCTCTGTACCGTGTGGCCCTGGGCATGCTGCTTTGCTAACTTTTATGTTTGGAATAAAAGGAAGATAATAATAGAAAGAGCCCTCCAGGAATGGTTGCAAGAACTAATTGCAAGGAGTGGTCATTCCTACACATTATTGCTTGCTAAAGCAGGAGATCATGGAGCCATTTCCCTTACTTAGCCTTTTGTCTGGCTAGAGCTAAGCTCACCATGAAGCTCTGGTTTGGAAAATGACCCCCCCCCACCCGCAGGGGTCTCCTGCCAAATGCCCTCCAAGGCCTTCACCTGGTGTTTTCCGGACCCCGTTGGCTAGCAGAAGGAAGCTGTGTGATACCATCTGAGTGATGCAAACGTGTCCTTGGATAAGCACCAAGTTAAGCGATGTTGGGAGGGCAGGAGCAGCCCAAAGAAGCCTGATGTGAAGAGGTGTGACTGGAGAAACTGCAGGAGGAAGCAGCTTGACTTTCACTCCTGGTCTGATCATGGTAGTATAAAAATGGACCCAAAGGTCTTCAGGTGGAAGACCAGGTTTTAGGTTTCATTTATTAGCTGTTGTTAAACCCTGTTAAACCCACGTTCATTCCACACAAACTGGAGAGATAGATCACTTTCCTCTTACTACTGAAGTACATGTCATGTCTTGAACTGTTGATACTTCTTAGCTTTGTTTTTGGGCCAGGGATCGAACTCATGACCTTGCGCTTTCCAGGCAGGCGCTTATGCCACTGAGCTAAATCCTTAGCCCCATGTCTTGAACTGTTAATAAACTCAGTAAGATCTATTTCTTATTCCCCAAATATATTAGGTTTGTTCACATTCTCAGCATTCAGTGACTGCATTGGGAAGCTTTTGGTTGGTTGTTTTTGTTTTGTTTTTGTTTGTTTGTTTTGAAACACAACAGACACAATCCAGCTGCAAAACATTTTTCCAAAAGACTTTTTTCCTCATCTCCAGCTTGGAAATTTGCATTCAAGGACTCCTCCCAGCCAGCCATACCTTCCAGAAAGTATATAAGGAAATTGTGTCTCATTGGTTCAAGAAGCAGATTCCAAGGAACTGAATTCTTCTTGATCATCCCCCCGGAGCTTCCACCCATGGGTGCCCTCCCATCCACAGCACCCATTGCTACAAGTGGCCCAGTTTCCTCATGCTGGGGTGCTCCGCAGCCGCATGATCAGAAGATGAGGTACAGGGGGCACCAACCCCAGGATTCTCAGAGCACTTGGTAATTGAATAGGGGTGCACCCCTTATAAACAAGTGAGACTAAAATGCATTTACTTCCGAGAAGGGCCATCTTGGGCCAAAGACAGCATGGGCAATACAGTACTGGAGCCAGCTCAGCATGAATTGCAAAGAGCCAGAAATAAAAAGAGGAGGGGTAGTGAAAATATAACCAAGGGGAAGCATAAACACGTCCACACCAAGGAATAGAATCTAGGGAGGTGAAAGTAAATGCTTGAGCAATTTCAAACTATCCTGTTCTATTCTAAAATGTTTAAACATGGCATCAAGAGTCATCACAAGGAGTTAACATTTGTGGTATGTTGAGTTGCTGGGGGCTGTGTTGAGGCAGGGGCAGAAAAGAGATTTTAAGGAAAAACAGAAAGCTGGGAACAATCCAGATGTTTTGTTGATCCATGATATTAAGTTCACATTTGATTTAAAAAGGCAGAAATAGGACATAGAGCCCTTCCTTGGCAGCCTGCTTCTGTTTTAGTGATAATTGAACCAATTATACATGTGAACATTGAGGTTTTTATTTTTAGATCAAGAAAATAATGAACAGCAACCTCTTACACAGGCCTATGCATACCATGACTGTATGTTTTGAGAAGTCTGCTGTCTTTAACAAAGTGATTGCAAGAGCTTTGCTCTTTTGTAAGGTGAAAAACAGAAAATTACAATGCTATGCCAGTGTTTGTTGAAGTGATCATCCTGAGATTGTGTGGGGCTTATCTCCTGGTGTGATCAGCATGGCCCTCTCAAATAGAGCTGTCTTAAAAACACAGATCCACCAGTAAGATGTGTTTTAATTTTGGTCTAACAGCTTTAGGATTACCCCTCCAGCCTGTATCTCCAGCTTTTGTACAAACAAGGAGCTTACACAAAACTCCGATTATAATGGTGACTTGAGGGAAGCAAAGCCTTGTTTGGTTGATTGAGTTATGATTGTACAAAGAACAAACAAAGGCTTTCTGTCCTTCAACATAACAGTTATGTCTTACTCCTCACTAATAATGCCACATTTTCATTTAAAACAATATTTGTACAGCCCGATTTTATTCCTAATGTAGGTGAAATGTGTTGCCTCCAGGTTGAAATCCAGTTTTAAACCTATAAGCTAGAAAAATAAGTTCGATTCTCCACGTTTGAGTTTTGAAACTGTTGATTCTGGTGCTTTAGCTTGGTAGAGAGACAGAGACAGAGGGAGAAACCCACAAACCTATCTAAACATGTGCATCTATACATGTGTAAAAATTTCTCTGCCATAAGAAACTGATGTTACTTTGTTTTCTGAATATCTCAGTAGATGTTTCTGTGATCTGAGTGAACTGACTTGCAGGCCTGGACAGTATTATACTTTCTCTTACCTTCCTCTCCGAAGTGCAGTGGATATTCTTTGACAACTGTTGCAGTGGCATGTTGCAGTTTTAATTTCTAGTTTTATTTAAAGTCTCTCTTAGATAAAATAGACCAGACGATTTCAGGGCTGGTAGGTACGTGCTTTCTTGGGAGGGGTGACCACCAACCACCAGTCCTGCAAGATACTACCCATCTCATTTCCTGTGGGGCCAAGGGCCGCAGCACCCTGTCTGCAGCTGGCTTACGGGGTTGCTGGAGGCAGAGTTCAGATGTGACTCTTCGACCGCAGGGCACACAGGCTTGGCCCAAAGGACCCAAAGAGTGAAATCAGAAATGCAGTTAGACAAAACCAGCCTGAGAACATTTTTTTTTTCCTGAATGGAAAGCAGAAAGCAATCCAGAAACAGGAAGACAAAGGAAAGTTTCTACAAATTGGAGTAGGAGCCATAGTTAAGGCTTCTAAAAGTGAATTTGAAATTACTTTGGCCTTATATTAGGAACTGAGTGCTTTTTGAGTTTGCCAAATTCATCTTGAAAATGTAGTTAGATTCTGCAAGCATATTTGGGCAGGAGATTTGAATTAGAATATTAGAACTTCAACAGGACTCATTTTAATCAGCTAATTTGGCATTTTGAAAGGACTGAGGGTCATTGTAATTATGTAGGGATGTGCAGTCATTAGCTCCAGTATTCCAGTTTCTCATTAATAGCTCCCCGGAAGAGGCATCGACTATGAAGCTATCACAGTTGCCTAAAAATGCACATTTTCCCTTGAAATTGTGGCTTATTTTCCTCCCAGGCGCCTCCAGAACTGATTAAAGTGCCTGGCCCGCATAGCAGTTCCCTTTAGGTGTCAAGGCTGTGTCTCACACATGTGTAAGGGACTGAGACATTTAAATCTCAACAGCCCAGCTGGGCCCAACCAAAAATCTGGGGCAAGGCTGGTTTAAAGGAGGAATAATAAGAATCACAGCTAGAGGATGTTTTTGCATAGCTCCATTCCTGCCATTAGACACTGAAAACTCAGTACCCAAACAGCCCCTGCCACTTGGCACCAGACTCAGAAACCCATTAGCAGCGCCACTTTGGTGAGTAGAGAATGAACTACTGAGCATGTGGCCTCTTGGTAGACTTAGAATTACCACTCGCCTTTGTCAGAAGCCTCACTCCAAGCATAATTTTACATGCCTGACCTGTGCTGAAGGGGTAAGGTTGAGTGAGCTGTTCTTTTTTCTGCCTGCTCAGAGTATCTTGCCTGGCTTTGTAGCACTCAGAAGTGAATGTAATGACTTGGTGGCTGTTGGAACGCTACTGCTTTGAGTGATGACACTTGATAGTCCTGTGTTCCATGCTTTTTTTGGACTATGTTGATAAAAACTCACTTTGTTTAGTACCTATTTTATACTTCACCCACATCTCAAAATAGCTCTCAGGTGTTTTATTGAAACATGCCACAAGGTCATTGAAAGCTTTGAACCCTCAGCCTCACCCTTTTCCTGCCTTCTGCCATGAATCCCCAAGAATCTGTGATAGACTAGGGACTGATCAGAAGCTGGCACATTAGCCCTTATAGACGTGACCTCATCTTCCCAGGGCTATGCACTTGACTCATGTGACAGTGCTCTTTCTGGAAAATAGTATGCCTAGAGTGTAGATGGGGCAGGCAGAGAAAACGAAAGAAGTGGAAGGATAGGTTTTAATTGTTGCAACAAGGCTGAGATGAGAGTATCTCCACAGTCCTGGGAAGTTACTCAGACTGATGCCCACCCTGCAGCACTGGGCACCCTTTGGAATTCTTAGCTCGGGCTAGGGTGTTCTCCTGCTCTGGGCCAGCACTTCCTGGGTGTGATTTACATGCTCGTAGTGGGGAACCAGCTCCTTAATCCCAGTCAGTGCCTATAGCTGCAGGCAGTTCTTGATCGTGGGAATGAAGAGATTTGTGGCATGGTTAATCCAAAACAGTGAATAATCCAAGAGATAATAAGAATTCTCTTTAGTTGGCTTTATATGTACGTAAGTGCTTTACCATTTTGCTTAAGCTAAACTTAATCTATAAAATGTTTTCTTAGTTTTTTGTATTACACAAAGCAATAGATTAAAAAATAGGAAAATGTAAGAAATTGAGAAGAAAAAGATAATCTATATATTCACATGATAGTTCTTTAACTGACTATATACCTAGACATTTCTTTCTGGTTGTATACACACATAGCTATACTTTTTTTTTTTTGAAACGGGGTCTTGCTATGCAGTTAAGGCTGGATTTGAATTTACTTTGTAGCCCAAGGTGTTCTATAACTAGCAGTGATTCTCCTCCTCAGCCTAAAATGACTAAATAACTAAATGACATTAAAAGCTGGTTTATAAACTTAGTTTTGTTTATTTGTTTTATTCTGTTTTGTTTTTTTACCAGGAATTGAACTCAGGACCTCATGCTTGCAGGTGCTGCACCACTGAGCCAAATTCCTGACCCTATAATCTTAGATTTAGATATAATTTCAGACTGAATTGTTAGAAAGCTTTGTTGCTGCCAGCCATTGGTATATGTGAATCTCACCTTGCGGCTCCCAGGAACCTCCCCCAGAGAGGAAAGCATTGCATTTAAATTAATCAGAAGATCAGGAACAAGATTCCCATGAGAAGGGAGAAAAGTTAGTACACAGTGAAAGGTACTAAGTAACAAAAAGAGCACCCATCCGCTCCTGTAGCCCGTAGACCTGAAGTGTCCCATCCGATGCCATAGAGAGGAGGCAGTGTGTCTTAGCAAGCTGCTGGTCACATGCCTGTTCAGTATGCTTCTTCTTAAGCCTTTCCTTAGATAAGGGGTCCAGGGGGCAAAGGAAACAATATAAGGATAGCAGGATTCAGAAGTGTTCTTGGAAGTTGTGAAACTGCCTTAGTGGTAATAAATCAGGTGGGGTGGAAGCTGAGTTTCTCTGAATCCATGAAGGCAAAAGGAAAAGGACGAAAATCTACACCAGCTTAGCATAGTGAAAAAGATGTAGCGAGACTGCACTTAGTTGTGTTTTCTTTAAATTTTGGCCCGTATATATTATATATCTTTCAAAGCAAGTTTAAAAGCTGTCAATTTCTTAGTCATAAGAGTTTTAGTCTTTAAAAAGGAAATGATTTCTATCTGCTTTTTATCATCTTTGAAAGTACTGGCTTCCTTCTATTGTCTGTGTCTTACACATGACTTTTCTATCTGTGTCGAGATAAAAGTGACAGTAGCTGATATTCACTGAGTGCTCAGCCATGTGCCAGGGAACATGCGAAGCTCTTTGTGTTATTTCATACACTCACATCTGGGTGCATTCTGTTTTCATCTCTTACTATAGAGCTTAGAACAAGGCCCACAGTCATACAAATAGCAGATGGGAATTCTCGGACCTGACTCTACAAAGTCTGACCTCAGTCCTCACACTCTTGACCAAGCCCCATCCCAAGTCTCCTCTGTACCTGGGGGCAGCAGACCCTAATCATGGACTTAGTACCTCAAGTTAAGTAAGAAGTGCTAGGGATTTAGCTCAGGGATGCAGCACCTGCCTAGCAAGTATGAGGTCCTGAGTTCAATTCCCAGGACTAAAAAAAAATAAACAAAGTTAAGTAAGAGCTTTTTCAGTACCAAGTACAAAGCAAAATCTGCAGATTAAAAGCACAAGTAGAAAAATAGTTCTAGTATGTATACAAAATATGTTAGCCCTAGTGGTACCTAACACAGGTACTAAAAGTGAGACCATCAGAACAAGGGAGGAAAACCCTTCCAAGGTTAAGAGTTTGATACTAAACGAGCTCACCTGCCAGCCTCATCTTTCTGCTTTCCTTATTTTCTTCCCTTCTTCCTTTCCTCCTGTTTCTCCAGTTTCCTTTATTACCATGGCAAAGTATTCATTTCAAAAATCCTTGGAATTTTAAGTCACTTAACCAACTTTTTTTTCCTTTGGATTTTTTTGGTGAGGGGCGTGTATTTTTTTGGTGAGGGGCGTGTATTTTTTTGTTGTTGTTGTTTTGTTTTTTTATGACAGTGTCTTGCTATGTTTCAGGCTGGCCTCAAACTCAAGATCCTCCCACCTCACCTTCCCAGAGTGTGCAATTACACCTGGCTTAACCAATTTATTTCAGTCACACTCTCCAAACTCCATACAAGGCCAGGTGAGGTGGGATACAGCCCAGAATGCCCCGGACCCTGGCCCTGCCGGGACCAGCCTTTTCATCAGGCAGAGTGGGGAAGAGGGCTCAAGGGCCCGTGGGTGACTGGTGCTTCTCCAGTTACCAAGTCCAGAAAAGGAAAGGAGAAGGCAAATCCGGCAGCTGCAGCCTGTCTGGTACAATGAAGACGAGTGTCTGCCGGAGGCCTGCCCGCTCCTGCAGTCTCAGATAAAGTATATGCCATGCTTATTGTCATGGGTGGGGACACGTGCCACAGCAGCAGGACCCCACTTTCCTTCCTCCTTGTATTCTACCCCTTTGCTAAGGATTCCATACCCCGGTCTCCTCCTTCACCCCAACTTTCAGGATGAGCCTCTCTGTCCATGCCCAGCCCTGTCCACATCCTATTTTAACTTACAGTGGCTTACAGTTCCCCAGCAGATATTTGAAAAGAGGATGAAGTGATTTACATAATTAAAACAAATTGCCTGACGAGTGTGGGCATCCACTGTTATGGGATAATAGAATGATTTAGATGTTGTGGGAGGCACAGGGCTGGGGAAAGCAGCTCTGCCACCCTGGAAATGCAATTACTGCTCCACAAAGCTTTTCTGGAGAGGCTGAGGGCCAGGGCGCAGAACATGGCAGTTGTCTCTGGAAGAGAGCAGGAGACTGAAATAGAAGAGTCTTCACCAACCTCCCTTCTCGACTTCAGATGTGTGGTGCAATTCCTGGAGCAACTGCTGGAGCCCAGGGAGACATCTGTTGTTTCCCTGTGACTGTCCACCCATTCAGTAGTGCGTTTTTCTCTCGACGTGTCTTCCTCTCTCTGTTCCTATGTGTGTACCTGTATCTGTCCTGGGTTTCTGATGTCACAGAAGAATGTGTCCTTAAAAACAGATTTGAGTTGGTTGACACATGTCTATAATCCTAGCACTTTGAGAGGATGAGATGAGGGTCCCAAGTTCAAGTCCTGACTGGCAACTTAGTGGAACCCTATTTCAAAAATTTTAAAAACGAAAAGATCCGGGACTATAGCTCAGTGTGAAGGCCATGAGTTCAATCCCCAGTACTGCAAAAAACCATAAAGGAGAAAGAAAAAAAAAAGTTCACATGTCAGATTAAAAGACATCAGAGGGACATGACAAGTAGAAAACTAAGTGCAGTCTTAGACTGAACCCTGAGACACCGGATGGGAGGAAGCAGTGCAGAGTATTATCAGAACAACTGGTGGCATTAGAATAGGGCTGTGTGTTTGGTTAGTATTACCTCGTCGCTACATTTCCCGACTTGGGGAATCTGTTCTGGTAATGCAGGAGGGCGCTATGTCTGCGGGTGACTCTCACGTGGTTCCCAGCCCCAAATGCACGCATGTGGAAGGAGAAAGTGGCAAGGTTATAAGGCACAGTAAGCATGACCGGTAAATCTAAGGATGAGGCCAGGAGTTCACATCCTTCTTTTTCCCACTTTCCTGTTAAGTTTGAATTTCTTTCAGAATAAGAAGCTTTTAAAAATGACATTAGGAAGTAATGCTGGCCCTGTAGCACTGCCAACTATTAATTTCTTTAAAAAAAAAAAAATGGAGAGGGCTAGAAAAGGAAACTAACATGCACACACCAAATAATTTCTGCGTGAAGTAGGGAAGCTGAAATTTGCAATTAATTATATCCATAAGGAAGATGAGCCCCTGGATCAGCTGCAGCCCTGCTGACTGTAGCGTGCAGAGAGCAGGCCTCAGCTGGACGCATGCAGGGTGTGGCCAGCTGGGGCCTCACCGTAAAGCTATTACAACTGGAGAGAGGACCCTTCTTGTACACAGGAAGAGCCCATGCTCACCTGGTGGGGTCAGGGAAGGCTTTTCGTTTAATTTACATGGTCTCTTTGCCTCTCATTCCCATAAGAAGCAAACTGAGTTGATGAGGTTAGTCCATGTGGAACATCAGATGAGAGCAGGGAATGCAGTCTTCAAGTACTTAGCGAGCCAGACTTGCCCGCCATGGTCCAGAGGGTCAGAGCTGGAGGCTGCATCCACCTGCAAGCTGAGGTCTAGGGCCAGGTAGAACAGCAAGGCAGCTGAAAGCCTCAGATGCCCCTGTTAGGTTCTGCTCAGATGTCAGGCTCGAGGCCGCATAGCATAGGTACCCACCCGTGCCTCCTGTGGCCCTACGTAGTATTTGAAAAGGTACCTGGCCAGACCTGGATGTCTCACCTCCCCTTTCACTTCTGTTGCAGTGCTGCAAAGCATAGAGTGGGTAGGAACCCAGGAAAGGCCCAGTCAGATCCCTGGGAGCCAGGTGAGCAAGGGAGGCTGGCAGTGAAGAAGAAACTGGAGAGTGTGTGCCCCATCGGGAGGTGTTTGGAATTCATCCCATTGCGGCCATGGGAAGGCAGATGACCGATCTTTCCATTTGTAAATGTTGGCAAGTTTTTTAAAAAAGTCTGAAACTGAGCATGGCAAAGCAACACATCTGTAGGCGAAATCTGGCCATGAGCTGCCAGCTGGCAGCCTCCGATCTGATCCAATCCATGCATTTTACACATTTGAGAATCTTACTCCATAAACAGCCGCTGGATTTCAAGAGGGAGCTGGCTGTTGGAGAGGGCAGGTGACTTCCCTAAGGTCACACAGCAAGCTGACGGCAGAGGCAGGCACCTTAGCTGTATCAGAGTGTGTCCTAACAGTGAGTGCTGCTAGACACGAAAACAAAATACGACTAAAAGACAAATTAATTCCAAATGTTATTTTAAAAGACAAATAATTCCATAAATACCATACCATCCTACTTTTGCCAAATGTTTATAGAAGCCCCTCCTTAAAATTTACCTAGTAGGTTTCTTCCTAACAACGAACTGTTTAGAAATAAATAGATTTAAAGACGAGGTTCCAGCTGTCAGCAGCAACAGAGAAAAAAAAAACCCTCCAATTTTTAACTGATTTGTTTTCGAAATAAAATGGATAGATACGACTTCCTTCTGAAGCAATGTTTTTCTTTCTTTCATTTTTTCGTTCTTTCTTTCTTTTTCAAGACAGGATCTCACAATGTAGTTTCAGGCTGGCTTTGGCAACCCTTCTGCCTCAGCCTCAAATATTAACTCTGTTTTACTCGTTGCGGAACTGTTGGACTTCTGTAAAGCAACTGTGGTGTTTTATATTCCCCACACCACTGTTTTCATCTCTCCAAATTGTGACTGATTTTTAAAATTCTAGCTGTGCTGGCAGATGAGAAGTAATATCCTGTTGTTGCTTTGACTTGCATTTCTCTGATGATTAGTGGTGACAGCATGTTTTCTTGTTTCTTGGTCACTTGTATATTTTTGGAGAAATGTCTACTTACATCCTTTGCCCACTATTTAACTTGGTTGTCATTGTATTAAGTTTTATGTATTCTTTGTGTAATCTAGATATATTCTCTTATCAGATAGATGACTTGCAAATGTTTTCTTCTGTTCTATAGTTTATCATCTCCTTTTGTTGATAACATGCCTTGGAGCCTAAAAATAGTTTTTGATTTTGATGATGAGGTTCAATTTATTTTCTTTAGTTGATTGTGCTTTGGTATCATAATTAGAATCTTGCTAAAACTCAAGATTCTAATTACAAACATTTATCCCTCTTTACTTCTCAGAGTTTTTGTAGTTTTGAATCTTTCATTTAGGCTTTGAATCCTTTTCAAGTTAATGTTTGTATGTAATGCGAGGTAAGGGTCCAGCTTCTTCTGCATGTGAACATCTGGTTGTGCATCCCACATCTCTGAAGGAAGAGAAGGCCTGGGGTCCGTATGGTCTGCTAAGATTCACTTCACTGCAATGCACCTGGAAATCCACTGGTCAGACAGAACAGAACTGGCAGGGTCAGCTTTCTTCAGTGATAGGATGGCCAGTTTGGCTCTCAGAAGCTCTAGTGTACTAGCCAGAGGGTAATCTTTTTTTTTTTTCTTTTTCTCTTTTATTGAAACATAGTACGTGTATATATTCATGGAAACAGTATAATTCGATACAAGCACACAATATATAATAATGAAATCATAAGTGTCTCCCTCTCTTCAAACATTAATTATTTCTATGTGTTGTGAACTCATAAAATATAATTCTAAAGCTCATAAAGTGTGCTCATGCAGTAGATGAAATAATAACCAATATGGTGTGATTTAATCACCCTAATTTATACTTGTCTCTTTATTTTATTGCCCTCTCCTGGTCTTTTGGCTAAAGTAGGTTGTAATAGAGCAGTGGTCCCCAGCCTTCCTGGGAACTAGTTTTGTGGAAAAATTTTTCCACTCATGGGACCCTGGGGGGCTTGGGATGCCTCAAGCACATTTCATTTATTGTGCACTTTATTTCTATTATTATTATGTTGTAATATATAATGAAATAAGTACACAGTTCACCATAATTCAGACTCAGTGGAAGCCCTGAGCTTGTTTTTCTGCTACTAGTAATGGGAGTAATGGGAGACAGTGATACCTACAATGCATTGCTTATGTCCAGTTTACTCTAAAATCTTTTGGTTGCTCTCACTGCAAAGAAAAACCCTGCTTCATAAAGACAATGTTAGGAATGGAGGCAGAATTTTCAGTGCTTTTGTGGCAATCTCAGGATATTTTGCCTTAACTTTAAATTCAGAATGTGCGGAGATTGGAAGCTGTCTCAGACAAACTCTTAAGTGCACTGTCATTTGCAGTTTAAAGCATTTGGTCCTCTTCTGGCACAAAGTAAGCTCAGCTGGTTTATTCACAAATGGGTCAAAGATCCGTTGCTTCCCAGTTCAGGGGTCTTTTGTGGTCAGGAAGTAATATTCACATTCTTCTGAAAGTCGAGATGGGGATCATGCATCAGCTGGGCAAAAGGAGTCCCCAACTCAATCTCTTTCAAAAGCTTTGCTATTTGAAACATTTCCAAAGTCTCAGTATTTGCTGATCACCCACATAATTCTAGTCTGGCTTCAATGCAGCCACTTTATCTGCTCACTACAATACAGTTGTCATTCACCCCTCCAAGAATAGACTGAGTTCATCGAGCAGGTTGAATATGTCACATGAATAGGCAAGGTTTATGACCCATTCTGTGTTACTGAAATGTCCTGCCAAGATGACTGTTTTTGTAAAAGAAATCTCTGGAATGTCTCCTATAACTCAGAAACTTTTAAAAACCATCTCACTACACAGAGCTGAATGAACAGTCTTGAGTTAAAGGCATGTAATTAAACATGCTTGGTAATTTTAATTACATACTTCAAGATGTTTTTAAGTTCAATCTTTCATCTAGTCAGCATTGTGGGGGATGAGATACTGAATGGACTCACGTCCAGAAGTGACTTCTTTGACCAGGGCAGTGAAACCAGAAAACTCTTCAGTCGTGTTAGCTGCCCTCTGTGAATATACTGGCAAAAAAATAATCAACTTAGTTTATCTGATATATAATCATTCAAAGACTTGCAAAGTTCTGCTGATGTTTGTTTTTTACTCATTTTTGCTAGGATTAGCTGCAGACTTACCAAAACTGTCACTGAGACAAGTATGGGAAGTAGGCACCAATGGAAGTGGTAAATAAAATAATGGATAGTCTATACACAGACTAAAATAAGTGTCAGATTATTACTTAAAGCCTGCCACCAGCTGCAGCTGTACAATTGAAGTAAACCAACTCACTTGCACTGTAAAGCAGACCATCAGATGCACCTTGTCACTTGCCACTCACTGACACAGTTTTGATATAAGTCTGAAAGCCATTGATGCATTATGGTCTCTGGAGGGTCAAACCCACTGCTGATGTTAATCTGCATTTGCAGCTGCTCCCTGTCGCTAACGTCACTCTCTCAGCTCCACCTCAGATAATCAGGTATTAGATTCTCATAAGAAGCACACAATGTTAATCCCTCCTCTACCTACTTCACAAGTGTAGTTCAGAGTCCCATGAAAACCGAATGCTGCTTGTGATCTGATAGGAGTGGAGTCCAAGTGGTAATGTGAGGGATAGTGGCCTGAAATATAGGTGTGTCTTCTCTCACTTACTCACAGCTTACCTGCTGCCATATAGCCCAGTTCCTGCCAGGCCAAAACCAGTATCTGAGGACTGGGGACCTCTGTTTAGAGAACTGCGTTGTTTGTCAAAAGACAAAGAGCTGACCAAGCACAGTGGCACACACCTTGGGAATCTTGACCTCCCTAAAATGAGATGGGATTGAAAGGGAAGTAAAATTAGAGGCTTGTGGTTATGGTAGTCTCTGAGCCTAAGGCAAAGTCGTGCTTGGGAGACTAACTACCTCAGGTGAACCAACTTAAGACATAAGTTTGGGGTGACGATTTTAAATTCCACTAGTTTCTTTAATGCGTCTATTAAGCAGACGTATTTGACCTGACTACTAGGAAATACGCAGGCCTATACATCATTGGGATGTAATTGCAATGGACGAAAGTCTCTCAAGTCAGTTAACATACTGCTTGGAAAACATTTATAAGAGACAATAAATTATCAAGACAACACTGTTAACAACCTCACAATAAGCCAAGTTTCACCCATGTACATGCAGGAGCCCACCTATTTCCTGAAAGCTAATCAAGCTGAAGAGTGTCCCTCCTGTTCACAGGAGTGTGTCAGCATGCAGCGAGGCTGCTATGACCCAGGCAGTGAAATGAGGCTGTCCATGCCCAGGAACAATGGTGCCTATGTCATCACCAGTCAATGACCGTTTTAGTGCCTTATACCTAGGAGGCACCTACCAAATGCTGGCCAGTCAGCTGAGTACACTGAGCTTGAGTCTTGCAACTAAGACTGTTTCTACTGTCTCCCCCACTAGCATTTTAGCACCTAGAAAGACCATGTCCCGTCAAGTTCCAGATGCTGTACTGGCATGGATAGAGTTAGCATAAAGTTCTGTATGAAAATTCTAGAAGGTAGCATGATAGCAAGTGAGTCAAATAGTCCCATCAACTCATATCTGTTTTTAGCTTGGGGAAGAAGATAGCCTCACCCCCAAGATGCCAGCTCTTTGAGTGGGGTGCTTAGCCCCTCATCAAGTCTATACACTGCTTGCTTATAAAGTAAGGGCCCAGCCTAGACTTCTTCTGCAGGAGTGTGAAATAATCTGGCATTAACTTTCTCTCACCCTTTAGTGTTTCTATCACCTAAAGCAGTTTTTCCTCCACTGCTGCATTCAAATTCCTAGGATTCAAATTCCTAACATGGGGGGGAAAAATCCCACAGCCCAACAATGTTAATGATCAACCTTTTATTTCTATGGTTTGACTATTTCAACCTCACGCCTAGCGAGTTATTGAGACAGACTGCCTTCGTCCCAAATAAGCTGAAAATAATAGACTGGTCAGAACTAGTGCAAAGAAGGCAAATTGATACATGGAGTAATTGAAACTGTGATAAAAAGAGAAACAGTCGCCACCAAACATGGGTCTCTCTCTTTTGTGTGCGTCCAAATGTGTGGGTTTTTTAAATATCACCAGATAAGTTTGTGATAGTCGACAAATGTGCAATCTGATCTTTCAGAAGAATAAACAGTTCCTTGTTAATTAATTTATACGGCTGTCAGTACAGCTTTCTCTGTCTTCGCACTGTAAGTGTTTCCCTGCCATAGATTTTCTTGCCTTCCTGGCAAACCTCCAGTGAGAGCCTGGGATTTATTAGACTGACTTGGTGCAAAGTCTATTGATTGTGGCCCCGAGGGTAATAACTAAATAGAACCGGAGCAACAAGTCAATAACACCATTGTTGCTGCAGCCTGCATTCACTGGAGGAGTGAGATTGTTTTACAGCAGCCGAGGGTAATCATGGGCAGATCAGTGTGTTCAACACACGCTGCACCGTGTTAGTGCTGAGGACTATTTGAAAGCTTTCAGCGGGATCGCTGGAGAATCGGGGTGGGGTACTGGGATTATGAACCCTGTGAACTCCTTCATTACAGCTTAAAGGTTGCAACTTTAGTTTTTAACATCTGCTGCAACCTTGGAGCTCAGGAGCAGGGCTGGTGCAAGGGAGTGCAGGCAGTGGGTCTTAGCACTAGGCAGTTTGTGTAGGTCTGTGTCCCAAACATAAGATGGTTATGGGCAGAGAGATTGTCTAACAGCTGCTGGCTGTCATCTATGCATCTATCTGACCACGTAAGGTGCTAGCTGGTGCACTCCAAAGCCCCACACACCCAGAGCACAGGCCACATGAACCCCCTGAACAGGAGCTCTCATTACCAGGAGAAAGCCGTAGCATGCGTTTTCTCACTTCCAACTCTTGAGATGCTAAGGCAGTGCAGGCTAGCACAAGCTATTTTTTGAAGGCTTGCTTAGAAGGCTTGCTTCCACCTCTCACAGCACTGTTTCCTAATTGGTAAAAGTTCAGTACTCACACTTGCTATAAGTCATGATTGGGTTCTTAATTACAGAAAACAAAATCAAAGTCCTTGTCAATGCCTGTCATTCTTTTGCCTCTTGAAGAATCCTTACTATGCCTCATGGCTGAAACCTTCCATAGGGAACCAGATAATGACGAGATAGGCCCCCAGATGGGGCTAGTGCTAACAGGCCCCCAGCCTCCTACACCCCTTGTCTGAGGGTCTGAATCCCTGAGGTGGGGATGACCTTCTCCGCAGGAAGCTCCAGGACCTGTGACCCAAAGTGCGGGTACTAAATTGATCACCAACAAATAAATACCTTCTCTTTAGTGAGGGTAGTGACAGCCCCAGGACAGCCCTTTATTACACAGAAGGTTTATCCTTTGAATCTTTGACACAGAATATTGTGGAGAAGACTGTTTCTGGGGCCATAACGTAAAAAACAAGATTTCTCCAGAAGCAGTTTATCCTAAATGTAAACCCTGCATGGAAGAGATACTTTTGCCAGTGGTCCTTGCTGATTATCACTCTCCCATTCCATACATGACTTTTACCAGTCAGAGACAAACTCCTGCAGGGAGCGGACAAGCCTTCCTGGGCCAGCATTAGGAGAGCACCGGGCTTCCCACCCAACCTGCACAGGCCTGTTTTCTGGACATTGTGGCGTTTGTTCTCTGGCTCCTTTACCAGGCAGTACTGCAGCTAAATTAGATTCTGCCTGTGTTGTTATTTAACTTCTGAAGAAGCAAACAGGTATTAATGATAGCAGCTCCCACAGTTGCCTTGTCAAGCACAAGTTACCCTAGAAGCCAGTCCTTTCAGATGTGCGGCTTGGAATTACGAGTTATCTGGGTAAGCACCATGTTTCTAATTAGTACAAGGCCCCCATTTCTGTGTTGTTGAACTGAAGAACCACTCTGTGGCTTTAGGCAAGGCAGCCGTCTCTGAGCAGTTGCTTGGGTTCTTCCCATTTACTATCATCTGTACTAGCCCTTTTCAAATGCGGCCATGTGAACCAGTTGTCTACAAACACCCACAAACATTTGGGTGACCCAGTTTTGACAGAATGCAAATCTATCACTTTATTTTTAAAAGAATAATCCTGCATAAGACTAAGAATTTTTTCTGTTCTATTTCACTGAAAGAATCGTTGGCAAATCCATGGCAAACGATAAACTCTGAAAGATTGTTTATTTTTAATTATTGCAGTCTGTGCCACCTTAATGAAAGATTTAGAAGCATGACAATTCTGCCAGGTATCAGTCTCCCCCCCCCAAAAATTTTTTTGCACATTTAGTCACTACTAGTATACAGTATGGGATGCCTTCTGCTGCTAGAAGACCCGGGGAGCCTTCTTATTGGACATTTTGTGTCTGAATGAAGAATTCCTGTCTGGTGTTTATTTCAACTCTGTACACCAAACAGTCCATAGTATTTTCATATGACCTAAGAATTGATACACTTTGGCAGAGAAATCTGCAGAAGTTCGAGAACCAAGTGACACATTCTCCTGGAAGAATAATAATAATAAACTAAGTTGATTTGTTCAATACGTTCACATTTGCAATAAAGCTGTTATTGTTTGGGTGGCTGCTTTATCCCAACTTGAAAAGGGACAAGATGAAAGGAAGGAGAAGTAGTGTACACATTTGCAGTCCTTTTGGAGGGCCTTCTCATCTCAAGAATTCCAACAAAATATTTTCAATAGTATGCATTTTTCTTCATTTCAAGGGATCAGTACCATCTCAGATAAAATAAACAAGGGGACAGAGTCAAAAATAATAGATCTGTGCATATACTAGATGCTAAGAACTCAAAGGAGGTGGGGTGTGAGCTTGTAAAAGATGACCACAGAGCTTAGCTTTTTAAAGGGATTAGATTCTAGCATGAAGATAAGGATAAGCAAAGGTAAACAGTAATATATTTAACTGCTACAAATGAAACAGATCTGTTGTAATGTATCTGCATTAGAGAGATGGTCCTTGTCTTTTCTCCTTATGATTTACAAAGTTGTTACAAAGTCATAAACGCTCATGAGACCAAAGTTATTTTCAGTCATTTCATATCACCTGGACTTAGATTCAGAGAATGTCCTTGAGTCTGCTAGCACATGCTCACCTAGTATTTTTAAACAGTGACCATCTCAGTAAGTATTTTCTTCAACAATCCAATCGGCTTCAGCAACTCCAGCCAGCGTATGTTTTTCATCACTGTGTGTTTTTTTTATGTGTGTGTGTGTCCAGCATTTCATGAATTAGAATAATCTGAAAATAGGCATCTGAATGATTACTCCCATCAACAAGTGAGAATGGAGACAAAGAATTGTTTTTCAGTCTTTCTGGTTTACAGAAGCTCTCGTGCTCCCTATGACCACATGTGCTGTTTTGCTAAGAGTTCCCCTCCTCTTTAGATTTCTCATAGACTACTTTTCTATTTATTATTTTTTTCCTCTCTGAATTGCCCATGTTAAGTGCTTGTTTCTAAACTTACTCACAGTAAGGACTTGCACAGGATTTTGATCACTGAAGATTTAGGCACCATCACGATCTTGGTAGAAAAAGAAATTAGCAATTTCTTTTGTAGTTTGCTCAAGTTGTGCACATTATTTCAGAATCAGACATTTAAACCTTTGAAAACAAAAGTTAAAATTACATCCTTTTTTTTCCTTCACCTTGTAGAAAACATTTCCAGTTGAGGTTTTCCAAAAATAGCCAGTGCTTCCCAAGTTTCTCTCACATCCGAAGTAACAGATGAATAGTATGATATGGATAATCTCATGCAATCCTCATGTTAACCCTGTCTAGTATATATTGTTGTTCCCATTTTATGGATTAGGAGACTAAGTATCAGTGAAGGTACTGATTTTCTCAAAGGTATATGGCTAATAAATAGAAAACAAAACCCTTACGTTGGTCCACTGTGCAGCACAAGCTGATCTCCACTTCCTCTGCAGCTCATTCCCTCCCATCCTACTCCATCTCATGGGTGAGCTCCACCTGAAAGCCACCACGTATGCTGTGGCACCTGCCTCAAAACCCTTCCCCATTTCCAGCCACCCCTCCCCAGTGCATGTTTCAGATCTCAGTCCTAATGTCACACCGCTTTGGGAAGCCCTCTCGAGCCCTGGCCAGGCTCAGTCCTCACCTACAGAGTGAAGCCCTCCAGCTGCGCGACATGAAGCCCACTCTGGATGATGGGCCCTTGTGCTTCCAGAGTCCTCCTAGACTGGCGGATTCATCTCTGCTTCTTTTACAGCATTGCCATGTTTGAAATAGCACACTCTGTGCATTTGGTTGTTTTTCAAAGGTCTGATGACAGGGACCTGTCAGATTTTGCTCATCACTGTATCCTTGACTGAAGCCAAATCATTTTCCCTCACTCTGCCCTGAGGTTTGTTTGACCCCATGTACCCAGGGCCACGTCACCGGCTATTGCCAGTTGCATGCTGAGACTCACAGCTGCGCTGAGAGCAGAATGTTGAAACTGTGCACCGACTCAGAGGACAGGCAGGCAAAGGATGTTGCGATGACACTTGGATGAGGGTGGCCCCTATAAAGGCCCTTTGGCTTCTTTTTCCCGCATGGAAGTGCATGCCCTTTCTCCTTGAGGGGCAGATATAACTTAGCGTTTCCAGGGCCTTCTGAGTGAAAACATCTGTATCCGATTTTTCCCGTCTCAGCATATTAGTGAAGTCCGGCTAAGGAGCAGCTTGTAGTTGACAAGACTCTCATCAGCAGGTGTCACTGCCATCAACCAGAATTACAGTGGGGCTGTTAGAGCTGGTGCCCTAGCCAGATGCCAGCCTGGGTAATTACATTTGGTCTACCTAGATTCCCTCTGGACCTCTCATCGGACACAGTATTCTTCAGCTCTGAACTCCCTGAACTGCTCAGGAGTGTTTGCTAAGAGCCTTTCAGCTGCTGCCATAGTTCATTCCATAAATGGATGCATTCCTGAAGGACCACTTGTCAGGGGGTGTCATTGGGGGATTCCTGCTTGGTAGACGACTGGCCTATCTAGATGGCCCCTTAAGCCCCTTCCCTGTCCAAGTCCAATTCTGTGATTCAGTGATTGTCACCCTCAAAGTACAGCATTGATGTATGGCTGAGAGCCCTGTAAATGAAAATACAGTGTACTGCCAGATTGAAATGTAGTAGGAAAGATGTGTAACACACACACACACACACACACACACACACACACACACACACACCAAAGAAAATCTGGACCCAGATGTGGATATCCCTGGGACCCAGAAGTAGTCACGATTGTATTTCCTCTCTTGAGTATACTCTGAAGCTATAATTAAATGAATACAAAAACATATATATGTTGAATGAAAGGTGTATAATCTTGGGGATAATTCTGATGTAATTAACACAGCAGAGCTGCATCGAGGCCAACATGCAATGACTGGAATTTTCCAACATTGATTAAGCTGGACCGAGGAGAACTAAGTCTTTGTCTGAAAGCTGCCAAATGAAAACAACTTTGGGATATTTAAATTCAGGTTGGAAATTGGTTTGAGTAAAGAATATTTAAACCACAGCTGTTCAAGGGCTAAAAACTTATGAGTATGTATGTGTGCATGCACCCATACACACACACACACACATGCACACATGCACACTCGCATACACACACACTGCCTCCTCTGAAAACAAGTTAGCCAAAGGTGTACATTCCTTCTAGGTTCTCATGATCAACAGATGTAAATGTTCACAGTGTTCAGATGAATTATGGACCCTAATGAGATTTCAATACTGAGCAAACAATAAAAATTTATGCATTGCATAGTTGCCGTGGCCTTTGCCTCCTCGGCTAGTGTTCCACCTTTTCAACAGCTCTGGTAATATAATATCCAGCTGGCTTTGGAGGTAAGGAGAATGCGGGGAGCAAATTGAAATTGTGAGAAATAATTTGATGGATTACTTTGTCAGAGTAATGCATGGCCTTGGCATAATTACCGTGGCCACCTTAACCCTGGAGGCAGGTGGTGACGAGAGCCTGCAGGGTGTGGGTGCGGCACAGTCCGGCATGTGCTCCTTGCCCCGCTGGTCCCCAGGGTCCTTGGAGTCTAGGCGCTCACCAGCAAATGCCGAACAAGCACATTCCTGTCCTAGTCCAGGGAGCGAGCGGGACAGCCGAAGGGCTGCCTTTCCCGGAGCTGTCATCTGTGTCACAGTGAAAAGAAGCAAACAAAAGACAGACCAACCTTGAAATAAAATGGGGCAAAGACAGGGAAGGGGATGAATGATATCTTTTAAAGCAGTGTGCTGGAACACAATGGCAGACACAGGCACGGTAATCTTTTTTCTCTTTTTATTTTATCAGTTCAGACCTTGAACTTAATGCTTGTCTGCCTTGTACTTTATAAGATTCAAATCTGAGCATGTGATTAATAACAGATCCCCGTGTGTACGTGTCAGAGACCACATCTGTAGCAAATCGGCGAGTATACTTCTTACCTTAGTTTTACTTTGGAGCCATAAAGTCATTCCTGTTTTGTGAATGAGAATAAACCTATTATGCACTAACATAGCTACACCCAGTGTCTGCTCTCTGGGGAAAAGAAGTTGCCTCTGTGATAGAGCAGCTCAAATTTCAGCATTGGAAAGTGCTTTTCAATGTGGCCTTCAGCAGTGAGAAACCACTCCCGCCTATTTCTTGCTTTTATTATGATAATATAAATATATTTGTAGCCTGTTGACAAACTCATTTGGAGTAAACAGAGTGGTCTAAATTGTAAGTTCTGATGTTTTAATGCTAAATCAGGCGATAAGTCAATGTTTCAGTTTGGCACAGCCAACCACATGTTCTCCAAAAATAGCCTTTGACACTTTTTAAAGCCAGTGGGTTGTGTACTTAAGCCGTTCACAAAAGACTTCATTCTTGTCTACAAATGGCAAACCTCCCCTTCATCCCAAGAGTGCCCAATTTGAGTGAGGTTGGCAAAAAAAAAGACACCTCCCCTCTTTAAAGGCATTTCTCCAACTTTTGCTGTCTTCAAAATGAAGCTTCTGGAGTATGTGGGGAAAGCGTGCCTAAGAAAGGTTATCTTGGTTTTCATTTAACACACCTCCAGCTGACTTTTTCAAAGGTCCATCGTAAGTATTTCTGCATAGCTGAAAACATAGATTCCACCCTGGAGAGATCTCGGACTGTTCATGTTACACTGCGAAGCCTTGTGTTTTCGCGTCATGGCAAAATCTAAGATGTAGGCAGCTCCCTCAGTCCCTGTTGGCTTTGGATTTTAGTCTTTTCATTGTTCTCTGCTGTAAACTTATACAGAAAAAGACCTCTGTGCCCCCAAATATAAGCTCAGCCAGTAATGTTTTCCCACCAATGCCAGTGGGGTAGCTAAGCAGGGCCCACCGAGTATAGAAAGGGGAGGAAGAAGGAAAGGGGTCTATAAGGGTGTCAGTGGGATGCAGGACACCCTGGATACCCCAAGTGCCTTCCCAGAGGCTGCTGTCATCCTGGAAAGTCCATGGAATGACCACAGAAGCTGATGCCCAAAGCCTCTTCACAACAAAGGCAGCACACAGAGCCTGGAAGAACTAGCCTCAGAGCCTTACAGGGCCAGTTACAGAAATCCTAATCCAGCAGTGCACTTTAGAGTGGTCACTTTGTACCAGTCGTGTCCTACGGTTGTCCTCATTTTCATCCTTACCATAGCTCTATGGGAGCTATTTTGCAGGAGAGATAACTGAGGCTCAGAGAGGTAGGGAATTTGTTCAAGGTCACACAGCTGGATTTGATCTTAGCTCTCTAGCTGCCTTCGGCAGTGTGAGTTCAAACGAAGCTTACACTCCAACATGCTAGGCCATCTTCCATTCCCTAGAGGTGCCCGCTCTTGGCTCTTGGCCTAATACAACCCAAAATTTTTTTTGCCTTGGCACATTCCCTTCCAATATTGACATTTTAGCAACAGACACAAGACTTTATTAATTCAGTGTTCTGCTACACTTTGCTTACAAAATGCCAGAGCATTTATAACCATCGTGCACTGGTGCAGTCTTAAAAGCGAGGATCAACAAAGAGCTCAGCTGGAGTGTCCCCTGTGAAATCTCAGCTCTGCTGTGTTTTGAGGTTTAACCCAGCCCAAGCATTCTCAGGACCCACAGCTTTTTATGATTCCTGTGAACTCCCCTGCATGCCTTTGAAAGTGGCTTGATGGATTTTGCTTGTTCTATGGAAATATGTTCTGGTGTCCATTTTGTAGGTAAGGGGCCCCAAATCCCTCCTGCCACCGTAGAACAGCAACGAGTCTCCAACGTTTAGGTCTCTTGAACTCTTAAAAATTATTGACAACCCTGAAGAATTCTTAAGTGGTTTATATCTGTCAGCATTGATAATAGAAATGTATTCATTTTAAAATTATAATAGACTGATCACATATGAATAAACACTTCTGAGAAAATAACTACATTTTTTTCTAAAATAAAATTAGGGAAAAGATACCATAGTACTTTGTTACACAACTCATCAGTGCCTGATTTTATAGGATGGCTGAACTGTCAGATCTATTTCTAGGTTTGATCTGTTGTGATGTCACACATCAAGTGTCATCTGAAAATCTCCACTATACCCTCAGAAAGAAGAGGAATAGAGAGTACAGATAGCATCTTAGAATTTTTATGAACATTCTTTTGACTTTATGGATCACCTGGAAGTCAAAAATCTCAGGGTCCTTGGACTTACATTTTGAGAACTGTGTCCTAAAATACAGCTACATCGCCAAACAATACTGATCTGAATGAAGAACGAACAAATTCTTATGCAACAGTCAGGTGACATCCTGAGCTTCAAATCAGTTCACTGGTCAGCAGCATCTCCTGTGCCCTCTGAGCTCAGAAGCCCTTGGCGCTCTGCCTGCTTTCCTCCAGCTCTGTAGTAGGCTGGGCCGTGCCACCCTCGCTCATCACTGGCAGATAGTGTGTCTCATTT